ATATGCATTTTCCATCTTTAAAATGCTTATCCACACATAAATATCTCCCAAGAACATCATCATCAAGTTAGCAAAAAGGAAAATGCCAGGGGAGATTAAATCTAATCTGACTGGATTAAAATCCCATCATCTTTGTCAATTAGCTTTACAATCCTGGCATGTTTTTTAACTTTATCTTGCCTGTTTCCTGACTTGTAAAATGACATAAGCAATGACTGAATTTGGCAACCAACTGAATATGATAGACATGAGAGGCATTAACAATGATGCAGAGCTATTTTAGCTGGGTAAATAGAGTGGCGAAAAGAGGAAGAGGTCTGGAGGAACCAAAGGATGACAAATTCCATTTGGGCCAGGTGTGCCAAAGACACCCACAAGCAGGTGGTCAACGAACAACTAGGAATGCAGGTTAAGGCACAAAAAAAAAAAGAGAGATGTGTGAGACAATCTGCAGAGAGGTCACCTTGGAAATCACAAATAAGATAAACATCACATTTATTTTCAAAATAATTTATAAAATGTCATTTCAAAACACATCAAAATAGGAATGAAGTAGAAAGGTAAGCAAATACATTTCAGTTATTTATAAATCTTTCTAATTAAAATATAAACTCTCCTAACACATGATGAACAGAATAGTGATTATCATGTCTCTGATCTCTCTGTGAATTAGAATCACAACAGTAGGGAAACACCTGGAATTTGCTGCCATTGATGACGATGATGACAGCAATAAAATCTTATATAGCACTTCCTGCACATTAGACACATTATCATTCTATGCAATTTGCTCTCATAATATCTTAATTGTAAGGTGAAGGTCCCATTTTTTCAGGACAATCAGGAAGATGTGTGCATAATCCAGTTTTAATCTTAATCTCAAATTTATTTGCTAAAACTCCAAATGTGCTGTTGGTTCTGTCAATCTTGTGACAAGAATGCAAATACTCTGAAGTTTTCCCAGATTCTTCTTGCTTTGTTCTCTCCAGGCAATCTCAGTGATGTGCACACAATTTTTGTATTTATGATTAACTCATTTCACTTTTAACCAACTAGAACTGGTACCGTATCCTCTTCTAATGCTATAAATCTCGCCTTAGATCAAAACTATTCAACAACAGAAATCAGATGAGACCTTCCTTCTACCAAAACTACTCACTGAGTACAGGAAGGATTATTCATTCATTCACCAAATAAGGGGCTTGAATTTTCCAAATTCCTTTTTAGCTCTAGATAGGATCACAGGGAGGCCCTCTGTTGGCCACACCATCTTAAGGAGCATCAAAGATATGCACAGGTAAAAGCCTGTATGAACACACTCCTACGCACACACACAACCACGCATTGTTCTCCATTCCTTTATCCAGTTTAATTTTGTCAATCCTTTTATCATTCTCAACCCTTTATCCAATTTGTATTTCTTGAAAATATAGCTGAAGAATTAAAATTAGCTTTCAAAAAAAGCTTTATTCATTAATTTTCTTTTACTTAAAATCACTTGTCTTTTTACCCTTCCTTTTCCCAGCCCCAGCATGTCAACGCAACATTGCTCATTCCTACAGAGCAGAAATTCTATTAAAAGCATGATACAGCCAAGTGTAATGGCTCTCAACTATAATCACAGCAATTTGAGAGGCTGAGGCAGGAGGATTGCTTGAACCTGGTAGGCGTAGGTTGCAGTGAGCTCAGATCATGCCACTGCACTCCAGCCTGAACAAGAGAGACTCCATCTCAAAAACAAACAAAAAAGAAGGAAAAAATAAATATAAATAAAAATAAAAAGCATGGTATACAATCACCAAACACAATACAATGGCTAAACAAATAGTCATTAAAAAAACCCATAAGAAGTCAATTAATTCACTAAGTGCATATCTCCATCAGGAATATCTCAAAGATATTACGTGTTATACCTAAGAGGGGTCAGGGGAGTAATGAGCTGGCTTCCAGAATTCTCTTTTTTAAAAAAAGCTTAGTTATACCTGTAATGCTAGTGCTTCACTATATTTTAGAAAATAATGGGGAAATGAAGATCAAAGACCAACTTGAACTTCACATTTCTTTGCTGTCTCTTCCCAATCCCCAAAACCACAAGAGTATAAAACAAAAATGATCCTTTCTTACAAAAAGGCTGGAATACAGTACTAACCTTTACTGAGTCTATTATCACAGTTCATTGAGGAGCTCTCCTCCAGGTTTAGATCTAATTTTACCGGGATTTTTTTCACTGTAAAAACCAATCCTGATAGTTTTTAAAAATGAAACCAACTTTCATTTCTTAAAATATAAGTCACTCTAACTTTCTACATTTAACATCTGAAAGTTACAAATTAATTTCTTTCTAGAATGTAAATTCTATGAAGAAAAGGGTTTAACTGGCTTCCACAACTATGTCCACAGTGCCTAGTACATGGCTGATCCTCGATAAATATTTGTTCCATAAAAGAATACATATATATTTCAACTAACATAACATAGAAAGGGTCTAGTGTATTAGCATCTGGGAGAACTTTAAAAAGGAGATCAAAGAACAACAATTACTAGCTAAAGTCCCTGAGCACTTACTCTTAAAAAGCACAGAAAATTAGAAAATTGAAATTTGGAGAGTGCCTCTACCTTACACTCTCAACCTTTGCTTGGGACCTGGTCAAGACTGAGTAGCAGACGCACTATTCTTTATTTTTAGTGGGAAACAACTGCATTCCCAAGGCTGAAGAATGCACATGCAAATTCTTCTAGTGTCCAAATCTGCACTGTCCCAGATGGTAGTGACTAGCCACATGAGTCTCTTGAGCACCTAAAATCTTACTAGTCTGAAATGAGATGTGCTGGAAGTGTAGAATTCCAACCAGGTTTCTGAAGATCAGGACAAAAAAATGAACACAAAATATCCCATTGATAACTTTTTATATTAATTACAAGTTGAAATGGTGTTTTAGATATATTGGAGGAGGCAGAATATATTCGTAACATTAATTTTGCCCATTTTTTTTTCCATTTTATTAATGTCACTGTTAGAAAACTTCAAAATACTTAAGTGCCTCACATTATACTCCTACTAGACAGTGGCAATCCTGACTGAAAACTAGAGAATCTGTATGCTACCAGCAGGGATACTCACTGAAAGCCAGACAGCAGGACCTCATTCCTGCTATCTAAATCTATAAATAGAAAAATTAGCTAAATGTTCTACCACACAACAATCTCACTTTCATATGCTTTGGGTGTGTCCCCACCCAAATCTCACCTTAAATTGTAATACTCCCCACATGTCAAGGGTGGCGCCAGGTGGAGATAAATGAATCATGGGGGCAGTTTTCCCCGTAGTGTTCTAACAGTAATGATTAAGTCTCACGAGATCTAATGGTTTTATAAATGGGAGGTACGCTGCACAATTTCTCTTGCCTGCCACCATATAAGACATCCTTTTGCTCTTTTTTTGGTCTTCTACTATGATTGTGAGGTCTCCCCAGCCATGTGGAACTGTGAGTCCACTAAATCTCTTTCCTTTATAAATTACCCAGTCTCAGGTATGTCTTTATTAGCAGCAGAACAGACTAATACATTCTTAATGACTCGTAATAGCATTAGGAAATAAGTGCTATTAGCTCTGACCTACAAAGAAACTAAGCCAAGGATGAAGAAGGTACATCTGCAAAACTACTAAGCTGGTAAAAGGGAGGGCAAAACACTGAAGAAAAGTCAGCTTGACTTTAAAGTCATGCTCTTGCCTCTGGTCTCCTCCAGTCACTCAGAGGGTGCTCTCCCCATGTTCTAAGGGACTTAAAGAAGGGTGCCAACAACAACTGACTCATCCTGCAATGGCTTCTCAAGCCCTTCAGCCATGTTTCTCACAGCCACTAACCCACAGCTGAGAGAACTGGGTGAAACAGCAACTGGAATCTCTGAAAAATTACCATGGAGCAACATCTCATGTGCTGCTATCTCAGGTAAAAGAATAGTTTCCTAAACTGACGTTTTTTACTTTTTTAAATTGCTGTTATCATCTCCTTTGTTAATGTTGATCACCATTTCCTTTTTATGTCATCAAATATTGTTGAAGGCTTCCATCCATTCCCTCCACACATTATTGAACCATGTTCCATTGTTGCACGATTCTTCAAAAAGAGCTGGGATGAAAACACTGTCATGCTCATACTGTTAGAATTTCTAAGGATACACCCTCCCTGAGGGATACTAAAAAGAAAAGAAAATTGTTTGTTGTTCTAAGTTGTTGTTGTTGTTTAGAGAGATAGGGTCTCACTTTGTTGCCTAGGCTAGAGCGTATTAGTGTGATCATAACCCACTGCAATCTTGAATTCCTGGGCTCAAGGGATCCTCCTGCCTAAACCTCCAGAGTAGCTAGGACTACAGGCACCTATCACCATACTGGACTAATTTTTGTAGTTTTTGTATAAACGGGTCCTGCTATGTTGTCCAAGCTGGTACCAAACTCCTGGCCTCAAGTGATCCTCCCTCCTCAGCCTCTCAAAGTACTGAAATTATAGTCATAAGTCACCCCACAGAGCCTGTTCTAAGGTTTTTAACACTTAGGCCAAGTGCCTCGAGTGAGTGATCCTGGCAGAAGTGAAGACACAAAGATAACTGTGAATCTCATGCAGCATGGGTCAGGCAGGGCCCAGTCTAGAGGAAACCGCTAGGTGTGTCAGGGAAGGAAGACTCTATTCTTCTACACACAGGCCATCACACTGAAGGTTGTCCTGTGATTCCACCTCTCCTCGCAGGTCAGCAGGAATGAAGACTCACAGGGACAAAGCTCTGAGAGCAGACTCCTGCCCTCATCTTGCAGCCACCATGTGATTCCCACATACTTGCACACATGTACACAAGGCAGTCCAGATTTCTGCAATTCTAAGCTCTCCCCTGTATCTGTCCCTCTCAGTTTAACCCACAACAAAAAAAATTAACTAGTGAGAAACCATTATCTGTGAATTTACTGATTTGGGCAAGTTTATTTCACCCATTATGAATCAGCTTACTTAGTCTCTTAGCAGCCTCGAGAGCTTCATTCGCAGTGTCTGCCACAAAGAATCTTTGAACTCTCACTCCATTGTCAGACATCAGTTTCTTGCTCTGGTATTCCTGCAGGTTCAGCCATCTTCTGGAAGTTAACTGAACTGCCTACAGAAATTGAAGGAGAGAGGTAAGAACACTCATTAATAGCAAGAAAAATAAAAGTCAACCTACATGGCCAGTCTTAGAGGTACTGTCGACTGGCAATCAGCAACCCAGAGTTGGGAGATGCAAAAGAAAAACAAAATCCACATAAATTCATGCTTAATTATTTTCTAACAAAAACTAGTTAAGAACAACTATGCACAAATGATTGCAGGTTTTTTAAAAATGCTGAAAACTGAGTGAGATCTGTGGTCTAATTAACAGTAATATACAAATATCAATTTCCTGGTTTTGATATTGTACCATAACTACACAAGGTGTCAGCATTAGGGGAAGCTGGATGAAGGGTACATGGGACTGTTATACTATTTTTGCAACTTCCTGTGAGTCTGTAAGTATTTCAAAAGAAGTTATTTTAAAAACTGTTAAGAACTCTATTATATGGATATGGTTTCCCACCTCTCACCCCAAATAAACGAAGACCGTAGCATTATTTTAATAACTGTATATACATTGTTAATCATTGTAAGGTTTTTCAGGAAATTTGTTTAAACACTCTGAAGTCACTGGGCCACAGACTAATTCATTTCTTTACCATAGTTTATAACAGTATCTAGGTAGTATCATTATGTGTTCAATGAGATTATCTCTTTCATGCACTGAGGTTGAGTGCAATAACCTGAAAGATTCATCATTAATTAAACTAGTTCCTAAACTACAACTTGTGTACTAAAGGAATTTTGCTTAAGTTTCAAGTAGAAGTGGTTTTTCAATATGTGCCATATGTTTTTATCTGTGTTAAAAGGACATAGTCAAAGGGCATAATAACATGAACAAATAAATTCTTTCTTTACATTTTATCCAATAATATCAACAGCATTCCCTACCAAATCCATAAACCCCAAGGGAAAAAAAATAAACAGGAAAAATGAATATACTTAATGTAAGCTCCTTTCCATCCATGAGTCATAGGCAAAGGAAACTACTTGCAAGAGGTAGCACGACAATATCGTTAATGCACAAACCAAAAACTCAATCACACAACTGGATCACAAGACTGGTAGTACATGGACATCACCTGATACAATCCCTATTGGCTTCTGTCCATGGCTTTGGTGGATGTCCAAGGCAGGGTCACACGAACCATAAAGGTGAGGTCCACAGGGCTTTATCACATGGAGCCATTACCTTTCAGGACATCTACTATGTCCTTAAAATGTCATTTTCTTCTGGTATCCTCAAGCTATGCTGTACTCATGGAGCTCTTTTGAAATAGGGTGATTTAAAGCTCTAAACCCCCACAAGTAGACTGTGTTCCACTAAAGGGTACAAAGTGTGCCTTAAACTTCTCTGTATCTCTGTGAAGAATGTGACAGAGCTTGACATATGAAAGGCACCCAAAAAATACCACTTAGATGGCCAAATGAATCAACCCTGCCTTTTGTCTCCTGATACAGATAATTTTTCATTCCCAGAAACTGGCCACCTCTAAAAATAAAAAAGTACATGTTAGTCCTTAAGACCTGAAATAAACATAATATACACACTGGTAAAAAATTTAAATTTCAACATGATCAAGCCTAAAGATAGCTCTCTGTTCTGTCCTTGTAGCTGCTGATAATGATGGTTTGGTTTGGTTTTGTTTTTAATATTGAAGTTGCCTATACTTCTTTAGAAATAAATAAAACTGGGGTAAAAAGTAAATTGCCAGACAAGCAATGCTCACACCATTTACTGTATAGTTTTTAAAATACATGATTTATTAATCTTACTTTTCAAGTCTTGATGAAACATCAGTGATTTGAAAAAGACAAAATTCTATAAATTAACACACATAGGTTTTATAGTCTTAATAGTGTGTCATATAACATATAAAGAAAAATACCAGTTTAAGACATTCAGCAAAAAAGCCCCTTAGTGAAAGAAAACATTAAACATTAGCTATGTGCTATTATCTAGGACACTTTTAAAAGGCAAATGGAACAATCGATAGATTATGTCTATGTAGAGGTACCAATTTAAGGCCATTAACCAAAGAAGAAAAAAATACAGTTTGAAAAGAGCATTTGAGGGAGACTAAAAACAGCCACGATGTGGTTGTGGTCAATTCCTTTTCATCAGAACACTCGCCTTATTAATTTCAGATATGTTAATGCAATCTGCTGAAAACTAATTGCAATTGATCCAGAGGCCAGCTTCATAGACATATAATACATATTGACTGTTTCTACAACGACTCAAATGAAAGCCAGCTTAAAGTCTGTTGCTCTTAAATTGAAAACCAGGACAGTGAGCATAGTCCCAAAACCACTGCTGACACCGGGCTATCATTCCACAGAGGAATTCTTTTACGGAACAATCACCTATTTTTGTTAATCCAAAACGTGAAAGACTTGAGTCCCTGACTGGTTCTAAAACTTCAAGACAACTCTACTCGTTAAGAATTTGTAGCTGGGTGTGGGCAGGCACAGTGGCTCACACCTCTAATCCCAACATCTTGGGAGGCTGAGGCAGGAAGACTGTTTGAGCCCACTAGTTCAAGACTAGCCTGGGCAATATAGTCAGACCCTGCCTCTACAGAAAGTAAAAACATCACCTGGGTGTGGTGGTGCATGCCCATAGTCCCAGCTAATTGGGTGGCTGAGGCTGGAGGATAACTTGAGTCTAGAAGGCCAAGGCTGCAGAGAGCTATGATTGTGCCACTGCACTCCAGCCTGGGTGACGGAGTGAAACCAAGTCTCAAAAAAAAATAAAAAACTGTGATAAATCTACAGAAGAATAATTTATGTTTACTTCTGCATTTTCAGTTGTTAAAAGGGTAAGGACAAATTTGCTATGTGAATGGATGGTAGAAAATATGCTGGAAAACGTAATATAATCTGCTAAATAGTAATAATAGTTCTATCTACTATTAATTGAGCAATTATGAGCTAGGCATTATATTAAATATTCATGTTTCATGGTTAAAACATTCAGGAAATGTCAAGTATTATAATCTCTCTCTGTAGCTGTTATTAGTGCAAATCAAGAAATATTCCTAGTCTTCTTCTAGGCACTTCCTTATTTCAGCTGAAGTTAGGTGATGCTATATCTACTACCTAAGTTAGCATCAGATCCCCCAGGTTAGAGGATCAGTCCCACAGGACTATACCCACTTCAGATGCCAGGCACAAGCCCCAGATCATTTTACCTATGCTTCTGACCAACCAGCTATCAATTAAGAGTTCCAAAAACCCTCTCCTCGGGTTTAATTAATTTTATAGGATGGCTAACAGGGCTCACAAACACACTTCTGACACTTACCAGTTCTTTATAAAAGATATGACAAAAAACACTGATGAACAGCCAGATGGAAGAAGTGTACATAACAGAGTGTGTCCATGGAGCTTCCATGCCCTCTCTAGGTATACCACCTTCCAGATACCAGCATATCTTTGACAACCTGGAAGCTCTCCAAACCTTGTACTGTTAAGGTTTTATGGTTTTACTACATAGGCATGATTGATTATCTCTTTAGCCACTGGCAATTAACTCAACTTTCAGTCCCTCTCTCCCCCAGAGACTGAGAGGATGGAGCCGAAAGTCCCAAACCTCTAATTATGCCTTGGGCTTTCCGGTGACTAGTCACAATCCTGAAGCTACCTAGGTGACTCCAACCACTAGTCATCTCATTAAGGTACAAAAGACACTCATCACTTCAGATATCCCAAAGGGCTTAGGAACTGTGTGCCAGGAAACAGGGGTAGAGACCAAATATGTATTTTTTAAATTACATCACAGTATCATATCAATCAACTAGTTCTAGCCAGTAAGTTCTGAGTACATATGTTGTGTGACACATTCAGGCCAACAATTAATTGCCATCCCTCCCACCCCCTCCAAGTTTACCCTCTCTTGATATGGGGAATGGCAACATTCAAAATGGAAGCTTGTTTATCAGCCAGGGCCCAGAGTAAGGATGGACATATACCAAGTGACTTAACATAAATGTGTAGTGAAAAATACACCTTTGTAGATTTTGGCCACTGAAAATCTGAAGGTTATTTGTCACAGCTGCACAACCTTTTTGCCCAATTGACTTTACTGACCAATAAAGCCATATTACAAATTAGGAAACTCAAGCTGAACTTGCCAAAGATCACAGGTTACTGTGGAACAGTAAAGCTTCTCTGATCAATTGAGTAACACTGTTGGTTCCTGGTGTTTGTACTCTGGCCCCAGAGGCTCTGTGGTGATACACACTGAGATGAGAGGTAAGTAAAATAGTGTCCCTTTCCTCAAAAGTCTACCAGGAGTAGGACTTTCATGAAATACTGATAGAGTACATGTAAGGTAAAATGTAACTACTCCAGGCTTTGGAGGGAGGGAGGGAGGGAGGGAAGGAGGGAAGGAGGTGGAGATGTGAGTAGGTGATGTCCTAAGATGCGCTAGAATGGTGGAAGTTTATTTCAACTCCTAGGAAGACCTATCTGTTACAAGCTTAGAATAACATCTTTGCGGCAGGAGACATGAAAAATCTCTCAGAGAATCCATGGATTCTAGAATGCATGGAATGGAATGGAGTATAAAGATCATCTGCCCCAGTGTCTTCAACTGTTTCTGCCTGTCATTTGCCAACCTGCCCTCATAACCATTCCCCTCAATTTGAGGCTCTTCTGCCTCAATTTGAGACTCTGTTCAGAGACTCAACAGTAGAGGGAGACGCCAGGCTTTGTTGTCCTCTGTGGGTGAAATGGCCTAGGGATCACATAGTAAGCTACGGCCCTGATGAAAGCTAGACTAATTCCCAACTTCTTTCCTTCTTTCATATGGATTCTGGCAAAGCGACTGTCTTAGGAATAGCATCATGTTCTCAAATAGCTGGAGCAGGTGGGCACCTAGGTTTTGTTACCTTTGGACTTGTACAATATCCTTGCCATTACTCCCTTCCTTCTTGTGTTTCTTTGATAGAGCAAGCACTTCTAAGCCTGGAGGGGAAGTGGAAAAAAATAAAAGAAAAGCAG